TTTAAATTGACATTCTATATCTCATTTAAACATATACTTTGATTTTATCTTTTCACTCACAACTTGCAAGGTCTTAAACAGATTGAGTACCACATGGACTATAATCTATAACCCACCACCTCCCTGTTCTGGTTAAAGTTTATTATTAGATACGCACGTGTGGTTATGTAGATCAACTAGGCTACTATCTCGAACTTGAATCTACGTTTTTATATGCTGTAACACGTGCATATTCATGTGCTAATAATAGTTACAAGATTACTTATACTTAACAAGTCAAAGTAAATTATCACACGTAGAAGAAGGCGTTAACTATTTGTTAATATGAAAGGTAGCTTAAGGGTACACTATTGAATTCCTTTTACTTTGATTTTATAGCCGCCATATCTTAAATGTAGTAAAATATTTATTCATCAATATTTCTTTGTATTGTAAAGTAAAATGCGGCACCGTGTTTTGTTGTTGTCATTTACAGATACAGTTAATAGTACTTTGTTTGTGTACATATATATATATATATATATGTTGCGCTCTGGAAACAATGGATAACATCGTTCCTTTTATGTGACATGTTTAAATAGCTAGAAATCTTGAGCAGAGAAACAGGGGTGAAGCGAAGTCCCTATATTGGGGAGGGGTGCATGAATAAATTTTGTCGATAAAATAGCACGCTTTGAATAAAAAAATAATAATTGTCATTTCCGGATATTCTCAAACGGAAAAATGTGTAGATGAAAATAAAGTACTAAAACCGTCAGCAGATTAGTATCCAATTAGGCATTTGGTCACCTTTTGCCTGTTATTAGGCATTTCGTCACCTTTTGCCTGTTATTTGCCGAATTTTTCTTGGCATTTTCTTTCGCTGCAACAAGAAATTGTCTCTCGACATTCCCCCGTCCCAAAAGAATAAACATCTTGACGACAGGATTCAGAATTGGGTATGTGCTGACAAATGGAATATGTGTGGGGGGCTAACCCCTCCACATCCCTGAGAGAAATAGAATTGCACGTTAAGTACACAAAACATTAATATTTACGAGACTGTTTCAGTGCAACAGCAACTTCAAGTACAAGTTTGAAGTAAGGCTTGTGATTATATGAATCTTCTAAAAACATTTCAGCTATCTGTCTTCTTATACATTCTGAACTTTCCCTTATCGACAAAAAAAAAATGCCAATATATCGCTTCATTATAACAGTTTTGTAAGGTATCTAAAATATTTATTGATAAAATTAGACATGCATTCCAAACACTGCATATTTTTCTTACCACATAACAGGACATATATTCTTATAAAATACTTGTTTAAAACTTTATTACAAATTGAAATATTTGAGAACGACTAAAATCACACAAGATTGTCCATCAATAATATAAGTTTTTTGTTTGCGTTGTTTAGAATTTTCGTGTAAAGTTACCCAAGAGCTATTATATGCGTATAGCCGTCCTTAATTTCAACTATTAAGACTGTAATAAGGAAGGCTGTTTGTAAACAGCACTCACCATCAAATCTTGTCTGATCTAATAGTGTAAGTTGACTGTTACTATTATAGCGCACGCACGGGCTAAAAGTGCGAAAATAGTTTTGGCGACAACGGGATGCGAACCTTAAACCTTTATTCACAATTCGGGCATGCTAACTTCTAGGCCATCATAATATAAGGCTACTCCAGCTTAAAACAGTAATAGAAACTTGGAATACGATCTATAGTTTATCTTTTAGTTTCCGGATTTCTAAACTGTTACATTTTAATTATTTTCTCCTGGGAAGTAAAGAAATGGTTGACAAGGGAAGGGCATTTTAAGAAAAAATAATAATTTGTAATAAAAGATATTTTTTCCGAAATTTTTGAATCTTTTATTTTCTACCTTCCATTTTTTAATCAAATGTGGATACCAATACACTGGAGAAACAAAAAGACCAGCAAAATAGACATACAAGACTCGAATATACCAATCTATATACAATAGCCCATTGTGCCAGAGAAGAAGTCCATATAATACACTGGGGTAATACTGAAATAATAGGATATGAATTATACATGAGAAAAAAGGGTAAAAGAAGATTTCTAAAGCCACCCTGATAACACTCAGTCAACCTAGAACAGAAGTTACCAAAACCTGGATTCCATTCAAATAATTATTTCAAATTCTAATGGGTTGGGTGTATAACACATTAAACTTCCATCAAGATGACCCAGGATCGTTTGTTTGTTATGGATTTCGTGCAAAGCTACACCAGGGCTATCTGCGCTAGCCGTCCCTAATTTAGCAGTGTAAGACTAGAGGGAAGGCAGCTAGTCATCACCACCCACCGCCAACTCTCGAGCTACTCTTTTACCAACGAATAGTGGGATTGATCGTGACATTATAACGCCCCCACTGCTGAAAGGGCGAGCATGTTTGATGTGACGGGGATTCGAACCCGCGACCCACAGATTGCGAGTCGATCGCCCTAACCACCTGTCCATGTCGGGTCGACCCAGATTACTACCAACACAGAAAATAGTTATTAATCAATAATTATATATAGATTGGTTAATAAGCACGACAAAGCTTGATATCCAATCCCCACACTTTTAAAGTAGGTATTTCAGAAGAAGAAAAAAAAAACAGGAGTGAAAGAGATCCCAGGAATGCCGTACTTTCGAAAAATCCAGTTTATTTGTAGTTACGGTATTTCATCATTATAACCAATGTCCTAATACACGTCTGACGAAAATTCAAATATATTTATATGTTTACTGGTGAAATAATACAGGTCGAAGTGCATATATTATCAAAGGAAAATTCAGTCGGTGTACAATGTTTAGGCTTAACTGATTTACAAACACTTCCCTTTTCCCGCAATCAATTCTCGTGTATCACTCCATACAAGAAATAAATTCGATTTTTTGACTTTATTCATGGAATAACTTGATAGTTTCTGTCGTCGTTTATTTTTTTATGTTACTCAAATAACTTCATTCATAAAAAAAATAATACCGACATTTTTTGTTCATTAATCAGTTAGGAAAACATTTAATACGTCCCAATACCTGTTACTATTTAACTTAGTAACACGTATGTTTAATTCAAACTTTCACTGCGTTTTCCTTATTCCTCGCGCTTATAATTGCTAATTTGATTTACCATGCATTGCCAATAGTGATCCGACACACAAAGTAGTAACTGCGAGTCAGTATGTCATTGTGGCAACTTGATAATGGAAAGTACGTAATCAATACTAGTTTTATGTAAGAGATCTGTGTCAACTAAAAACTTAACAAATCCACATTTAAACACTGTTAATGATCGATATCGAGGATTCAATTTTCAGCAAGACCAGGCGTGGCTTACTTACTCACTGCTATGATTCCAAATCCGAGAATTTATGGTTCGAGATCCGTTGCCACGAAAACGCGCTCACCACTTTGGGGCTGTTGATACGCTATAAAAATGAAGTCAAATTACACTATTTGATGGCGGTGGATGTTGTTAACTAGATATCTATCACTTCAGTATTATGGCTTTGCGAATATATAGTCCTAGTGTAGTTTTGGGCGAAATTCAGAAACAAACAAACTTGTTTTTAGTTGTTGTAGTGTTGATTGAATTATTTTTGATGTGTCCAAATAAGTTTCTTCAACGTATTGACTATGTGCCTTTAAGTAGAAACTAAAAATTTAAATCTTTCTTACAGAGCTTCTATATTTCAGCCCCTAGTTAAAAGTACGTATAAACGAAACTCCGGGGAATAAAATCTTTCTTACAGAGCTTCTATATTTCAGCCCCTAGTTAAAAGTACGTATAAACGAAACTCCGGGGAATAAAATCTCGTTTTTATCTGAAGTCTAAATAAAGTGAGTAAATTTATTTGACCGATAATATTTCAGTCTTTTTATCAACCCCTCTAGACGAAGAAACTTCTATTTAAAGCTTAGCATAAAATATCTAAACACTGCTCTAAATACAACTTTAATTCTTGCTCAGTGTATTAAAAAAAAAAAAAGAAAGAAAGAAAATGTACATAAATGTAGGCCTAGGTTTTTTACCATGCACGACAAGCTTCAATGCTAGCCGTTAAAAACAAATTTGACGAATATTGTGACAATATATCGGGATTTAGTTTTCTGATATGTTATTCTATACTTTAACCTATGAACTATGAAAACTAAGCAGTTTTCTTCCGATCCCACTGTTTTCGTTGGTAAATGTATATTGATGCAGAAATAAAAATCGTCTTTCTGTAAGTAAAATGTTGTTGGTTGTTTTTTGCAATGCTATTCTAACGTTATCTGCACTAAACGCACCCGTTTTTCCACTGATAATCTAGAGAAGAGGCAGCAAGTTAACACCGCAAACTCGTGGGGAACTCTGATCAAATATTGGGATTTGACTGTCACTCCTATAGCGCAGCCACAGTTCTAAAGTGTGTAAGCGATTTTGTTGGCGGTAACGGGTCCTCAGTTTGGCATGCTAACCACTGGACCGTTCTCGGCCTCCTTTGGGTAAAATATGAGTAAGAATACTACTGCGTTAAGGTCTTATCAATGCAAACTTGGAAAGTTATAATAATATCATTACCGGTATAAACAGTGTAACGGAAAACGTGCAAGAGTAACAGTCATATAGTAGACAAGAAGGATATCTGACTACATACATTCTCTCTGTACTCCACTTTATAATTAAATTTTATAACCTACAGTTAAAGTATTTGGGAGCTGTATCACATGTATTTCATAAGATGATCTTTGTGCTAAAACTATAAAATGTGGTTTTTATTGGTGATGGAATATCTGGTTAGATGTGCAGTATGGAAGGTTAACATTTAAATTATATACAAGATGGTAAGAGAAGTGAAGATGAAGACAAATAAAAAAAAACATAATATAATAGGTTTTATTATTCTATAAATTAATAATGATCTTTGAATTACACTTTACTAAAAATAACGACCTTTATCAAAGCTGTTTATAGAGATAAATGTGGACTAGATACAAGTTACTTGTTTTTTTTTAATAATTAAGATAAATTAATTGTGATACTAAAATTAAAAGCCCTTAACTTCATATAATACATGATAACCTGGAACTGGATGTATTCTCTTTTTAAAATAGTATCTAATAAACTAGTCTGTTTTAAGGGAGTTACTTTAAATGCTAACACTAAAACCAGGCCACAATTTCTCTGTTTTGGTCCCACACAAAAAATTACATATTAGTTTTTATGTAATTCATATATCATAATTTTGTTTTAGGAACCTGAAGTTTTATCTATTAAAAATATTCCTTACCTGTAGTTGAAAGATTTACGGTGAAACTATACTTTGATTGGATTGTAACAATAAAAACCACTGCTTCAACATCAGAACAGTAACAGAAAGTTACAATATTGAAAAATAAAATATTCCTGACATTGTTAAAAGTCTAAACAAATAAAAAAAAATAGCAGAATTAAGCAAAAACATGGCGAATACAAATATAAATAACATTAACACATTAATAAGCTTTCAAAGTGAAAAGTGACCACTTTCAGTATTCATAAACCCACACATCAGAAAAGATATTTATACATTGTGCACAAAAGCTGCTCAACTAGGGGACTTACTAAACCCAGCTTACTTTTCTAGCTTTGTAATGGTCAACATTATTTAGATTTTATCATTTTAACATATTTCTGCATTAGCTAAATGTTAAAACAAAACTAAAAAGGAGATTCCTTGTATTTAAAAATCTATTTCTTCCCTCAAAATGCACGAAACTGCATATTTGTGACTTTAAAGTTGCGATTTTTTCATTTATTTTTGGACTTTGTGTTATTCCCTTCTCTTTAGTTTTTGACACATGCATTGAAAGATACATATGTACAAACACATTTACAAGTGAAATATTCACATGCAGGAGTCATCACTAAATAAAACTATCTATATAAACTCAAAATGAACACATCCAAAATGATTTTACTTTCTCATAATATTAGATGACACAACAGAAATAAGAAAATGTACTTCATCATGCTTCAAAATAAGAAAGAGTGACTAGGAGAAAACATACATACTACATTACACAGAATAAAAAAAAATACCGAAAATGGATAGTAACAAAGTATTTTACACATAGAAATATACAATTGACTTGGATTCCAAAAGGAGACAAATTAAGCATTTTTTAAAATGCATTTTTTACTATACATATAAACCCAGTAATGTTTTTAAAATCATCATAAAGTTGTTGTTTTTTTTACAATTAGACCAAAACTGAACATGTATAAAAATACTCAAAAAAGCATGAAAAAGGCTTCATTTAAGCTTGTTTGAAATATTGCAAAATAAAAATTAAATCTCTTGATTAAATTAATTCCTTTTTTTCAATCATTGTAATTAATATCTTTGCTAAATGTACCCTAGTTTGACACCTTGGGTGATTAATTTTGTTACATAATACATGCACAATCCACGAATCCTCAAAAATCTACACCCTGATACAATTTTACGGTAGTTTAAACAGTCGATATAAGTCGTAACAAGCTATAAAGTACAAGAAAATATAACTTGTAAACAAAGTACAATATCTGGAGCAAAAACCAAATTCGATATTACAGTTCTTCTTGAGAATGGGTTCTCCGCAACAACTCTGAAAACTTGTCTTTTACTAAACAACAGGAAGAGTGAGACAATAAAAATCAGTTTGTCTCAAGTTATATTAGAAAGACAAATATTTGGAAGTGGTTGTCCATATGAATTTTCTTGGTTAATACATCTAAGCTGTATTTGAACAAATTTCTTAGGTAAGATCAGAATTAATTTCAAACATATGTACCATCTCTAACATCACTAATACTGATAAAGAAGATTTTATTATTGAGGTCATTTTGTTGGAGAATGCAACAATATATAAAGTTGATAATGAACAGTGTCAATTAAATTTTTATATTATGGCTTGTATGCCACAACATTTAAAATATCTTATCAATTACTCTTGAACACAGACTATTCTATAATTTATACAAAAATAAATAGAAATGTACTGTTCATAGTAGAGAGAGAGAGAGAAAAAAAAGGTTAAAATCTGTTGCTAAACAATACAATTTTGTGGGAATATAAATCACTATTAAAGAAGTTATTAGAATTTACTTATCAAATTACAGATATCACTATCATATACAATATCATTACAAACCTAATGACAATAGAATGATAACTTATCACTGATAAAAACAGACACACACAAATTAAAATCACAAAAAAACTGCAACACAACTTCTATTTTTTTACAGTATATTAGTTTATGATTAATTAAAACTGACTTGACTTATTTGTAAAATACACATCTTGCTAACTTCATACATATATCATAATCAATCTGAGTAATAGTTACACAAATTATCAACACAATATTGTAATTCAACACAAGTTACTACAACTCCCATTTCATTCATTGTCTAAGAAATGTTAGTTGCTATCACTTTACTCTTTCCACTAGCTTTATGTAAAGATTGATTGAAAAAGGAGTAATCATTACTACAAAGTCTTCCAACTGTTATCTCTCATAATACATAATCTGGAAGTTATAAGGTTATGTTCAAAGTACAGCTAAATAACCTGGAATTACACATCTCCATCAATATGGTCATTCATTTTCGGGGAAACACTAGGATTAAGTACATTAGGACAATCTTCTTCTTCATTCAAACCATCGTGTTCCAAAAGAGACTCTTGTCTTGAGTGCTAAGAAAAGAATATACCATTTTCTAAATGAACTCTAAAACAGATCCAAGTAACTAAAAAAATAACCATACATTATCTGTAATTCATTTTGTTTGTCTATAAGTGTCAAGTGTCTCAACACATGGCCAATTGTCTGTATGCTGTTGTGTTTGATCACAGCATGAATTGGTACACATGGCAAAAGTAACTACAGAAGAAAAACACCAATATGCAAAAATCTTCACAACAGATAATAGTATGTATTTCAATAAAATCAAAAAATAGTATTTGGTCACAAAGTATGTTACTTTAGATAAACAAATTCACTGCTACAAAATTTAAGATGGAACTATATTACAAACAATGAAACTTCTCTATACATGTATCTGTAGACATGGAAATAAAGTCAGACAGTATATGCTGTTTGATTAAACAAAATACCAGTTTGGCTTGGTCATAAGATTTTCTCCTGTCAACTTTGGAATTCTTTTTGTAACTTAAATACCAGAAATATGTTTTTATTTTTCGAAACTCCTGTTATAAATCCAATTAATAAATTAAAGAATTTTTACACTTTCACACAATGGCACGGTTCTCGTATTTAGTTATTAGATCCTGTAAATTTAACTTACCTTTTTCTTGTCAGTCCAATGATAGAGTAATAAGGTGAGCGATATTAGTAAGACAAAGACACCAAGAGCTGTGATGCAGTAGGCAGAAATTGATGCATACAGGAGTGGATATTCTAGATCTTTTAATAACTCATCTGCCAATTCTTTTGTCAGATATCCAGACTATGAGAAAAAAATTAACAAGAAAGACAATGGTACATAAGCTAATCATATATAATAATGAATGAAACAGTAAGAAATGTAATTGCACTGGTACAAATATAAATGCTGAACAAATTTGTCTTTAGTTTTCATTTTAAGTTGGGAGTTATCAAGGTACCTTTCACCCTCTAGTTTTTACTTTAGGAGTCACTACTCAGGATCTTAAAGCTTGCACTAGTCAGTTCTCTCATATACAGTTCTAAACTGCTAATAAGCTTAAGAACTGCAAAACCAAGCTTCAGATATTTTGTATATATACAACAGATGGCAAGCTGTTGATATCTGTGAATATACCATAGGCAGATAGATTTAAATGGTATGGGTGCTAAAGTTTACAGGAATTCTGATTTTGAATGTTAATTAATTAGTTAAATGAACCCAATATGCAATTTTACTTCATTTCAAAGATGGAGTTGAATTTGTCCATAATGTAATCTTTTAACTAAAAAATCTGAAACCTGATATAGTAGATCAAACTAACAACTATCAGTATTTCTACAACATGTGCATACTTTCAAATCTTGAGCAGTGACTTCTTAATACCCAAGTGCAAAACAGAGTCTAATTACCCCACCATCTGAAATACAAATTAAACATTAGGCAGTTGGCTCATCAATTTCTGAAAAAGAAAAATTTTAAATAAAAGTTGTAAAGGTGTTAAAGGAAGACATGAAATAGAAATACTGTATTAACAAGTATTACAGACTAGAATGAGTAGAAGTTGTAACAAAAAAAAAGGTTACTAAATTAAAGTTATGCTACAATAAGATAGCAGTGATAAGTCATTGGGATTACAATATTGTAATCAATGGATGATATAAAGCACAAGAATTGCACAAAATATAAAAGACTAATAGAAGTTAAACAATCAATACACAGTGTCTTATCACTATTATTTGCTTGATAGAATTTACTCAATGACTAATTTGAAATAGCTAGACAATTAGCTCATTAATCATCTAGCAATTTCCAACCATTAAACTACAAAATAATACATAAACAGTTTACTAATTACACTGGGCAATAAAAAAAAACTTTTCTCTGCTACTATAAAAAATGCAATTGTTTCTGAGTAAGTTAATGATGCTGATTCTAAAAATCGTGTTGAAAATTACTGATCACCTCCAGTTTTTGAGTTATGATAAATTTATTTAAAATATTCTTACATATCGTGAAAATAACTTTTTCTTTGATAATTTTATTTATTCATTGAAAATTGCATTTAAGAATGTTCAAAAATAATGCATAATAGCAATACTAGTTTAAAAAGCAATGGGTATAATAATATCATATTCTCAAAACACATTCAGGCTATGTTCAAAACTTTCTTCATGATATTATTTTAAATTTTTTGTTATGAAATATCTGCTTGATTTGTTTAATTATTTGTGTATGTTCTTAGTTTCATGCTGTAAGAACCAACAGTAATCTCCCATCATTGCAGGATTCGATCATCCTTGATATTGCTGTTCCATTGTAGAGATATCTTTGTGGAAGATCACCTTAGATCACTTAGAAAGAAGTCAAAGTGGGAGTGTAAGAATTGCATCTTTAGTGACATCCTAGACCCCATTGTCCTTTAGTTCTTGAGCATATCATAAATCATTACAGCATAGTTTTCATCTCTGTGATTTCCTAAGAAATTTTCGACAACCAGTTTGAATGATTTTCAGCAAGTTCTTTATGTTTGAGTACTGTTTAAAAATCATCATCCATCAGCACCTCCTGAATCTGTGGCCCAACAAAGATACCTCCTTTCAATTTTGTTTTACTGATTTTTGGAAACTTATCAGACAGATATCTGAAACCATTACCATCTTTGTTCATTCCTTTTACAAAATTCTTCACGAGTCCCCGTTTAATATAAGTGGGGGCATAAACACATTTCAAGGATTCACTAAAGGTTGATATTCGATATTCTGTTTCCCTAGTATCTAATTCTCTCTCACCGGTCATTCCTTCTTTTTGAAATGATTTTTATCATCTCAGATGTCCCAGAGACACAAAAAGCACTAATGTTTAGTATACCACACTGCAAGCCTAGCAGGAGTGCAATAACTTTAAGATCACCACAGATGTTCCACCTATGGTGATCATATTTGTGGCCTCAAGTATAATCTGCATGCTTTGATAAGTTTCTTTCATGTTCACTGCATGACCAGAAGGAACCAATGGCTTAGTGTTCCCATTGTGCAAAAGTACAGCTTTCAGACCAACTTGAGGATGATGTTCAGTAACCAATTCTTCCATTAGTGCATCAACATTTGTACAGAAATACAAATTACCTTACATGCTGTAGGGAGAAGCAAGACTTTGATAATGACTTTGGTAAACTGAAACTCTTGTTCCTCGAGCTAATAAATTTGATTGCCGTAAACGAGAGCCAAAAAGTTCCCCATTCTTCTTTGATAGAGACAAGTCACAAATCAGATCATTTAGCTCTTCTTGTGGGATCAGATGAGGCAGTTTATGTTGAGGTGCCACAGGAATAGAATTATTAGATGAAGATGATTCATTGTCTTCTTCGCAGGATAACTCCTCTGTTTCCCAATTCGCTGGTGGATGTGGCACTGGAAGAACATCCCCAGGAGGTACTTGTTTCACTGCAGATGCAATATCTGGATATTTAATGCATTGTTTAGTTTTTCCTGAATATCCAGAAACGTTAGTTATACAAAAATAACAGTCAATTAAATTATCTTTGGGCTCACACTATATCATTGGAACTGCAAATGGCATACTTGCTCTCTTTTATTCAGCCACTGTGTCAAACCAGATATGCTAACTGAACAACACACGTGGAGCCCAGTGTTTTTCTTGGTTACCAATTTTACACCCAAAATAGTGGTAATAAACTACCTTTACCTTGTATGTGATGTTTTTCCTTTGTGAAACTGTAATATATTTTGTACAAATGTAGCAGAAACTGTTTGGGTGATTTTTGCACTTTTGGACTTTACTTGAACTGGAGACTAGTTGGTTTTCTTGATTGACGTTTTATGGTGCAAAACAACGGGGCTACCTGCGCCAAACAAGTGGTAAAAATTCAAAGGGAAAAGATTATAAAATATAAAAAGAAATCAAATTAAAAACTAAACTAAGTTCGAAAATCAGGTAAAAACATTTAAATAGAATTAGAAAGGCCTAAAAACCCACAAAAAGCTAAAAACATGGTCAAGTTGGACAGTGTCACCATCACTAATGACACCATCCAACGTCAGGGGTAAACACGTAGAAAGTATATGTTGAAAATGGTGCTGTCGCTCACAGTCGTAACGATGGCATGACAGTAAAATGTGGTCTATTGTGACTGGAGTGTCACAAAGGCTACACGTTGGTGGGTCAGTATCAGATAAAAGAAAACGATGTGTTAAAAACTGTGACCAATGCATAGCCTAGCCAGGACAGCTTCTTCCATCCAATCCTTTTGGAAACAAGATAGCCAAAGAGCAACAAAGTTTTATCTGGAAAAGTTTGTTATGATGTTGCTACACCTTGAATACAGGACTGTAGTCTATATATGGGACAGGCAAAGCTCTGACATCACAAGAGCAGACGGACTTAGCTGCAGTGCCAGCGAGCTCATTCCCACGAATACCGACGCGGCCAGGTATTCACAAAAACTGGATGGAAACAGAAGATAGAGAAAAATGGGCCAGTTGTTGTTGAATATCGACAAGAACACGGTGAGAACTAACGTTAAGTGATTCCAAGGTTAGTAGTCAGGTAAGAGTCAGTGTAAATAGTACAATCGCTGTACTGCATAGCTTCTACACGATCCAAAGCAAGAATAATGACATACTTGGCAGTGAACACAGAAACTGTACAGCAGATCCTGTGAACAACTACCGAGCCACAACAAACCATGGTAAAGCCAACAGAGTCACCTGATTTTGAACCATTCATATAAACGTGAATAGAAGAATAGTTTGAAAGATGTTCAGCAAAGAGAAGACAATACTTCCAATCAGGAGTATCTGCCTTCCTCAGATGACCCAAGAAAATGTCACATTCGTAGGGATAGTAATAAGCCATGATGGAGTCAGCTGATCCTTGGGGACATCAACGTCATCCAATGCCAGACCCAATTCAGGCAGTTGTGCCTGGATACAAAGGCCAAAGTAGCAATTTCAGAATGTCTGTTCTGAAAGAGCTCAGCCCACACAGGAAGAAAGACACAATTTCAGGTTGGATGCTGTGGTAAGGATCGAAGCTTAGTAGCATACTCTAGAGAAAGTTGCAAATGGCAGAGGTGAAGAGGAGGTTCGTGGGACTCAGTGTACAAACTCTGGACTGGAAAAGTGCAGAAAGCCCATGGGCAGAGCCTAAGCCCAAGATGGTGAATGGAGTCCAGCTTCTTCAAGGCTGAGGTCTTGACAGAACCATAGACCAAAGAACCATAGTTCAGTTTGTATTGAATGAGGGCACTATAGATCTTCAGCATAAAACATTGATCCACTCCCCAAGAGGTGGAAGAGAGGACATGGAAGATGTTTAGTGCCATTGTACACTTGACACGTAGCTGCTTTATGCGAGGAATGAAAGTAAGCTTACAGTCAAGGATAAGCCCCAAGAACTTTACCTCAGAGACCACGGAAAGAACAACATCACCGAGACAGAGCTCGGGATCAGGATGTAAACATCGTTGGTGGAAAAAATGCATGTAAACAGTTTTGGAAAAAGAAGGTAAAACTGTTTGCTGTGGTCCACTTCAAAAAGTGATTGAGAGTAGGCTAAAGCTGCTGCTCAATAAACCTCATATTCAATGACCTACATGAGATTTGGAAGTCATCGACATCGAGTCCATTTCCAAAGGTAGGAGAAATTTGTGTAGTGATAGCATTGATCTTGATACTGAAAGTTGTGACACTCAAGATACAGCACTGTGAGACTCCAAGTTCCTGTGTGAAAGAACGGGAAAGTGTCAAACCCACATGGATTCGGGAATCACCCGTTGAGTAAAAAATTTCGAATATAAATGGGTAGATGGCCATGCAACCCATATTAGTGGAGGTCACACAAAATGCAGTACCTACACGTAGTGTTGAAAGCCTTTTCAAGATCGAAGAAAACATAAACAAGATGTCCCCTATTAACCCTCTCGCTCCGGGTACCCTTTACTGCGCATGACACAAGGTTTTAGTGTCTTACATTCAAAATTTTATTAAACTACTTTTTGTTTATGTTATGCTAATTAGAATAGCATAGAAGTTTAGCTAATAATCTATATTTTAATAATATACAAGTTTTAAGTTCTTAATTCTACAAGGGAATATTTTAAAAAATCCTGAATTTCCACTAGTGTGACTTATGTGACACATTTTGTCTTAGCATGTCATCAACCTT